TGTCTTGTTATGGATTATATATCGTTTTCACTCTTCGAACTTTTATCATATGAATATACATTCATATTCTCGTCCTCCAAATAATTCGTACAACATAACAGTTATTCACATGACTTTATATTTACATTCATTATTAACTGCAACTCCTCAACTATTCGACAAACCGTTTTTATCCCAAAATCCAAAGGATTTTTGGTCAAAAAGATGGCATCAAATGTATAGATCAAGCTTTACAGAACTTGGGTATTTTCCTATAATTAATTTTCTTGAAAAATTTAATAATTCTAGAGTAACATTATTTAGTCGTGTTAATTCTGCTGGCAAACTTCATTTAATGGTCTCTAATTTCATCACATTACTTCGAAGACTCGGTTCATTATTAGGTTATAAAACATTTTTAAGGAATATAAAAATTCAAAAGGATATTCAAAACTTGGAAACTGTTAATCAAAATGATGAAATGTTAAAGAGTAATCATATTTTTAAAAACAGTGGATCAACATTTACTGCTTATAGTGAACTTTCAAGAGCTTTGGGAATTATAGGTAGCTTTCTATGGAGTGCTATATTACATGAATATTTATTTATTGGTTTATTTGGATGGAATAATAGCAGAGGTGAACACTTTTCATTTTTCTTGGTACATGCAATACTAATGATCATTTGGGATGTATTAGGGAAATTAGCTGATAGATGTTGGAGGTTATATTATAATCGTGACCGTTATGAAAAGAATGAATCGAAAAAAACAGACAAGATTTTATTTATGATAAAAAAAGTCATAGGGTTTATGATCTGGAATTTTGTGTTAACTTTAACGTTACCTTTGTTTATCGAACCTTATATTAGACTACGTCACTTCTATTGTGTACCTCATCTGGGATGTCAACGAAAACTTTAACAAAAGTGTCGTTGACAATATTAGTAAAAAACTTCATAAGGTTCAATAACAAATAGGTTTGTGATAAATGAATATATTAATTTTAACTTTAGCATTAACAATCTCAATCTTATGAGATGTGATGACTATCATGTATAATAATAAAAAGATATCAAGAAATGTAAATGTTTTTTAAGAATAATAATAATAAAAAAAAAAAAAAAGAGTGAATGTTAATAATCTTGAGCTTGTGCTAATCGTGCTTCCAAGTTTCTCAGGGCTTCTTCTTTAGCTAGAAGCTCTTGTCTCTTTTCGGAGATTTCCCGTTGAACTTTTAATTCAATTTCTCTCAACTAAAGAATATATTGATCAATATTTCAGGTTTGAAATCATAAATTCAATTTACTAACTGACGATAATGTATTTTCAGTTAAAATGAATGCGTCATTTACCTTTTCTTCTTCACGTTTCAATTGTTCTTCCTTTATTCGTACACCTTGAGTAGTAAGATCATCAGGCAAGATATTAACATCCCTACAATAATAAATGTTAATTAACATATATGATTCAGTATTTAATACAATAAGCCTGTGTATCTGTATTTACTCGGTGGTAGTATTGTCGACACTTCTGCTAAGTTTCTCTGTACGATAATTCTCGTATAAGAAGTCATGTGTAATCTCTTTTAAGTCTTGTAAATGAGAACTATGGTAATAAGTATATGATAAGTATAAACGATTAGCAAAGCTTTATGCAATGCTAAAACAAGAAAACATAACTACCTTAAAAGTGCTGATCGCAATCTAGCAAAATCCGAATGTTGTGGGTCTTCAACTGCAAAAAGAAAGAAAGCCCACCGATAGGATAATAATAATAATAATAATAAGAATAATAATAATTAAATCAGTATAAATTTTCATTCGATTTATATCTAAATTGAACTAGGATAGACCTTCAACAACACCCCATGGGTATTGTCTTCCACGAACTGATCTTCCATTTACACTGATTTCTTCTTCGCTGCCAATAATGGCAAAGGGTAGGAGGGCCTATGTTGAGACTATTAAACAAAACAAATACATAGGAAAAAAAAATATTTCTGAGATACTGTAACAAGATGATAATAATACCCTTAATTCACTATTTTCTTCAACTGTTTCTTCATCATCTTCTTCAACATCAAATGGAAAATTATAGATTGGGATGTTATAATGTTCGATATCCTCCATAATCTAATAACATATTCGAATTACATAAACAAATGTTGGATCATGTGTCAATTTATTGATAAAAATTTTTGCACCTACCATCCTTTTAAATTCGGCCAATTCAGCTGGTGTACATGTATCGGCCTTACCGACAACCGGAATGACGTTGACACGTGGACTAAGCCGTTTCATTAGTTCAATATCAATCTCGCGAAGACTAAAATTAATGATTATATAAAAAAACAATCTGAAACATAATTCATTTTAACAAAACACGAATATAAAATTGATAAACTCATACGAATGACCCGTTGGCGTAATGAAGTAAAGAAGTGCGTGAACTCGATTATCACGAAATCGAGGACGAGAATATGAATGTATATTCATATGATAAAAGTTCGAAGAGTGAAAACGATATATAATCCATAACAAGACA